GCTGCCTAAGAATGCTATGGTACTTAAGCATATTGTGCTACTGGAACAGCTGTAAATGTTTAACAAAGCACTCATTTAAAGAATTCCTTTATCCAGTGTGAATTTTACTGCATTCCTACCTGATTCTACATAAAGCAGTTCCATTAGAAATACAAATAAAATGTTTGTTTCATGAAAGCCTAAAAATATGAATCTTAGACGGATTTGGCACAAATATATATGCAGTGATATTGTACATTCAGATTTTTATTTGAGCTTAGTGTGTTACTTTTGAAGACTGAGTTATATTACTGATTTGGTTACCTCTCTCTTTAAAAAATTTTGGACTATTATGTTTAATCAAACTGCTCTGAGGATGTTTTCCTTTGTTAGGATGCTAAAATAAGTATGGTATTGGTTTTAAACCCCTCACAATTTCTATTGTTATAAAATAGCTCAGTACTACAAGCAGTGGTGAAATATGATTAACTTTTTTGGGGGGGCAATGCTTTTACTAACAGCAATCTGTATTTGTTCAAATTACAGCTTTTTAAAGTGAAATAGTTATTTCTATGTATCATTTTCCTCTAACCAAATGCTATGTGAAGCAGACAGATGAGGAGGTTAAAGCATATGAGGCCGAAATGTTGATGATGTAGAAATACCAAGTGTATGCATCTCCTTCACAATACCCATCTTTTTTTAATTGTTCAGAAAGGATTTTCCTTCACGTGCAATCAGTAGCTGTGAGTATTAATAGTTGTTGAGTTGTAGTATTTCTTAATTCTGTGTGGAAATTAGCTGTGCTATATTGATGTAGCTGTTTTTTCTACCAATCCTTCAGGGTGGCTTAATTAACTAATGTTAGATAATATAGGTTTTTTGCATTCTGAAAGATGCTGATACTACTAAATACTTTTGTTAGATTTCAGTTCATAAAAGTGTATACAGACATGCATGTGTGTTACAGCCTGCATTACACATGTATAAACAAATTTGTGTTTCAGAGGTGTTTTATTATTTATCTCAAACACTGGTTTAAATAACATGAAAAGAACCAGTAGCTCTGTCATACCAGGTGTTAGGGACACCTTATTTCCTATAGATTAAGGTCTTGAAGTTGATTGACTTTAATGTTACAGTAGGTGCTTACTTTTTTTTTTTTTTTTTAAGCTTTTAAGCTTTGGGGTTGTTCCCCCCCCCCCGTGAATGAGGTATTTAGAAGCTCTTCTTCTATTGGAATCTGTGTCTAATAAGGTGCAGGCCCACAATGTGGGTTTGCACAGGGGAAAAATTAAGACACTCCTGCTTTTCCAGCTGATCACAAAACATGTATGAACTTAATTATCCTTGAAACCTATTACCCACCCATTTGTGAAAGTGGTTTGAAAATGGCTAATGGCTTCAAATGTTGGAAAGGAGAAGGCAGGAGAAAAAAGAACAAGGGCAAACCCACCCTGCACGTGCGTGCAGGAGCATTGGTGTGATTGCTTGTATCTCCTTTCCTGAAGATATCAGGTGTAGAAAGGGTAGACAAAGAATGGAAAGGAGAAACCGGGAAGGGTCTGGAAGAGGAAACGAATGGAAAGGGCACGTGGTCAGGTAGGGGCACTGTGGGGCTCAAAGGTGTTTTCATGTGGGTGTTGCAAAGGAAGAGAATCCCAGGGAGGTTTTGAAGGAAGAATAAATACATTAGAAGAGAAACTGAGTAGAAAAGGTTCCACGAATAGGGAAACATATGTTGGAAAAGGTCTTGGAAATGACTGACAGAGAGGTGGGACGATGGGACACTGAGGTCACCGTCACAGCAGGAAGTGGGGCAACATGTGGCCCCAGTCCAAGGCCGTTTTTCGGCTCTAGTTTAGCTTAAAGAGCACTGAATTGGACAGCACACGTGTTGAAAATTGCAGTTGTTCTCAGGGACTTTTCTTAACTGGAGCTGTAGGAGGTACCTGAGACTTCAAGGTCTAAGGGACTGTGAAGGATGTGGCTTTGAAAGAAAAGAGTAGAAATTGGAAGCTGATAGAAATGGTTCAGCCAGGTCAAGGAAATAATTTTTAAAAAATAGAGAGAAGTGGTCTAATTAAACGAGGAATTCCTTTTACTTGGTCTGTGTCTGATGCCTTGAGAAGGGAAGTGTTTTAGCAGCCAATTGAAAAGTTACAGTGCATGTAGGCTTTATTTGCATTTATACATATTGTTTCATCTGTTCACAGTCAATAATATTAAGCTTTATTAAAATTACAATCAGTGGATATATTATCAATGAAGAGGGTTTTTGTCAGATTGGTGTTTTCCACTGTCTTTTATGAAATCCAATCAGTGATCAACAGAAACTTCCTTGTAGGATATTTTGGTTGAAACTACTGGCATGTTGTTATACTAAGTCTTGCTGGACTTTTCACTGTTGAAATTGAGGCTTGGGATGTAATACCAAAGTACATTTCCTTTGGTGGTAAATATTTAGAGAAGCCTTTACCATTTCCCCAGCTGCTTATGCAGTAGTGGCTGTATAATTGTGCCTGCAGATTGCTTCCAGGGAAGTGGTCTGAACTGGGGAGAGGGAGGAAAGGGAATTGCAGTTTTACTGGTTCAATTTACAGCAATACCCCAGAGAGTCATCGGCAGAAACTGATGTGAGGGAGTCGATTTATAAGCTACAGAGAGCTACAGGGGAGGCAGCTCGAGGACCCCTTATGTATTCTGCAGGAGCTAAGTCCATATAACATGGACCTGTCTCCTTATCTTTCCAAGTTGTGAAGCACTTTTCAAAATATTACATATTAGCTATTGATTTTTAGTAGTCTTCTCCCTCCTGCTGGCACGCTTGCTGCCTGCTTCACATGCTGTTTTCAGTAAATCTTCACTGTGTAAACTTCAGTGTAACAAAAATGAGTAATGTCTCAGTCCCTTTGCCTGTTCTTCAATGCCAACAAAGTTTATTTGGGGCATTTCTAACGATCTTCACTAAGAGCAATGAGGTAAAAATGTCATTATTTTCCTCGTGAACCATGAAACCAAACTAAATTGTAAAAGTATGAGGGAAGATGATGCGGTATTGGAAGCCAAAGCCTACCATGCGATTTTGTTTAGAGAACTGCTGGAGGCTTTCAAATGTCAGATAGATTCCAGTTGTGTAATTTGAGGATCAAATTGTATTAACATCCATACTTACAGTAAAATAATACCATTTGCTGGCTTGCTTCCATTCATCTTCAATAAAAGTGAGTTCATAAATGAACATGACCTTTTTAAATCAAGGTTTCGGGTAGATTTCAGAACCCCAACAGTTACAATTTTGAAACGAAAAATATCAGTGGTTTTGTACATCTTAGCTAATGTACTGTTTTAAACACGATTATGGTTCATAACCAAGCAGTTCAGTTACCTTTTATCCTTCAATATGCTCACACGTCTCCTGAACTTCAGTAATAATCTGTACGTGTGTCCGTGGGTAAGCCTGCTGTAGCGTGTACCTACTGTACAGCTGCCATATACTGAATAAAACTTGAATTGTGAGTATATGTCTGTGTCAAATAGCTTTTATAAGGCACCTTTTGGAACTTAACCCACACGCTGTCTGCTAAGTCCTCACTCTCTTGTTGCTGTTATGTTTCTTAAACTCTGCCTAGCTTCCAATTTCTGTACTTTTTATTTTAAAGAGAATGTACTGCTTTTCTCCCTGGAAAATATGGGCAGAAAGTATGTGTTGTTGTATGATGTATTACATCCAATTAAAGCTGCTAGACTTGAGTATGCACCTCAAAGTTCATTCTATCCTATGAGCCATCAGGGCCGGACTGGGAGCCCTGGAGAAGAAAGAGGGCATTGGAAGAAGCAGGAGAGGAGTTCACATGGGTTTATTAATGGACAGTTCCAAATCTGCCTGCACTAAAATTTCAGTAATTCTGCATATGCAAAAGAAATTTAGAAACCTATTAAGAACCGGTAGAACTATATTTGTAGTTCTCATTTGGACATGCTTATAGCAGAGTTCTTTGTAGTGGAAACTTGTCTCTAGGCTTTAAAGAGGAAGGCATAATACCGATCAGCGCTGTAAAACTCCTAAAGGTATATGGGAGTATGTATGCTCTAAGAAGTGATGAAAGAAGGCAGTTGGGGAAGGGACTAGTCATCCAGCTTAATTTAAAGGCAGCCACACTTAATAGATCAAGATCTCTAAACAATACTTTTGTTAGTTTAGTCAGATATTACAATCCTTGTGGTTCTAACACAGACTTGTAGTACAGAAATCAGATGACTGCCAGCCTCACTAACCAGATACATTTTAGCCTCTAGAAAGCAGGCAAACCTCTAGGTAGGCAAGCATTTTAAACATCGTAACATGAAATTTTAAGGTACAGGATACGTGCAGGTGACTTCTCTAAATGCTGCATTGCACTTTTCATTTCACTAAGCACTTCTGATTGTAGCACAGTGTGGGGGATGTTAGGTTGTGCCTCCAGATTAGCCTCTGCAGCCGCTTCTGAGCGTTGATGCAGCTCTGGCTCTAAATGTTATTCTCCCCTTTGGATAAAGATTTTTCTTCTTCTGAGTCCCCCTAGTACATTTACCAGATATTAGATCAGGTCCCAAGAATCCCAGTGAATCAGCCAAATGCTTCTCTGATCTGAGTCACATCTGGACACCATTCATATCACAGGTGGAAGCGGTGCCTCTGGTTGCCTTTATGAGCGTATTCCCAAACAGATGCAGAAGGCAGGGTGGGTTTCTGCGGGAGTAAAGGCAGTCCAGAAGTAAACTGGAAGGCTATGAGAAATAATGCTTTTGTAAATGGAATTTCTTAAAGAGGAACTTAAAAACTGCAAAACCAAGGAGAGATGAACGTTTTCCATGGATATGTATCCTGTATTTTACAGTTTAGTAGTACATTTTGGGTATTCTGTGTGATTTTAATATCTCTAGAAACAATGTGTATTAAGCACATTGTGCACCAGTGAAGCAAGTGGGCATATGCTAGTGCTATTCAACATTTCTTTTCTTCTTTGTTTTTTTTTTAGATCGCCTTTTGCTGCAGTCACAGATTACTCAGTAACAAGAAATAATGTCATACAGCTCTGTCTGGAACTGACAACAATAGTACAACAGGTATGAGACCATCTGCTTAGCAATTTATTTTTTCCTGAATTTTAAATGGCCATTACCTTGTTCACACAATTTTGTGTTGCTCTGTCTGTATCATTGTCTAACAAAAATAAGGGGATACAAGTACTTAGTAAATGGTTTATAAAAATTCTGCTGCCTGGTTTTGTAATACTAGTCTGGGTTGTGCTGTGTATATGCCTCTGCATATCTCAGTAGCAGGATTCATCTTGGGTTCTGCAGTCTAATATCACCACTATAAATTTGTGAAATCTACTTGATAATTTGCATATTTAATTTCTTATACTTTGTCTTTAATTTTTAATTAACTGTCTGGTTCAAAAGGTCTGTCTATATTGGACTTTAGTCATCTGCTCTTTCATACAATTCATAACAGGTGTCTAGATGATAAGATGACACATGTCCCTATGAGGCTAGGATATTTTGAACACGTTTTTGTACATCTACCCTCACGAAATCCAGAAGTAGGTACTGAGAAGCACTTGCTTAACAGGCTTCATTTGGGAGTGCAGTCTAGAGAACCTTCCCCACCCTTCTGTTGCTTCTCAGTGCATCATTTAGGTCTGTCCCTATCTTTGCCTGTGGTTCTGCTAAAACTGAAGAGTCTCTTTTGCTGCGAGTTCAAACTACTGTTGATATCAAATTCTGTAGAAATAACCTAGGAAGTTAAAGTAGTTCTGTTCAGTTGAGCATCCTCGTTTACCCTGACGCACGCATTTCTGAGAGCAGTCTGCTACAGATGACTGTGAAGGGCCTTGGTACCATCTTATACCATCAGTTGACCAGGCGGTGCAGCAGTGCCCATCATGCGGAGGGAGGAGGGTCCAGGGAGGGTTCAGGGTTCTCCTGGTGGCTCAGCAACGGCAGAGGGAAGGGACCGCTCTCCCGAGCAGAAGTTGGAGGGAGTGTTTGCACTTGAGAAGGTGGAGTGGAGAAAAACGGAGAGAGTGGGCTAGGAAGGAGCCCCGAGGAGACTTTTTCTGTTTTTCAGAAGCATCACTCTGAACTGAGCAAAGCTAAACTTATCCTGTGGCTTCTTGGCATGACTTTATATGACGATACTTTTACAAGAAATGCATTTTTCTCTGACCCTTTCATAAATGTATGCAACACTGATGATTAGTTGGGTTTGCCTCCCTCCTGAGTTGGAGAAGAGCAGTATTGCTAGTCTCGTGTGTTCAAGCTTGGGAAATGAAAGTTTCTCACTTTTCTATGTTATTATTAATGATCAATTTCCCTCAATTACGTGTGGGGTTTTTGATGCGGAAACGGAGCATGGGCTGTTCCCTCCCCACAGGCCACACAGCGAGGGTTCCTGTTTGCTTCCCAGGCCCAAGGGCCGAGGGGTGCCCCACCAGTCCCGTCCTTCAGCCGCACTGGGCTTCTCGCCGTCACCCTGCCCCAAACTGGGACGGAGGTGCCGGCGGCGGTGGCTGTGGAAGAAGAGCCCAAGCCTTCGTTTTCTTGGCTGCCTTTTGTGCGACACGTGTTTTTTATCTGTTGTCCCGTGGCTTGTTGTGCCCTTGTTGAGCTGTGAGAAGGGGTCAGTACTGTGAGGGCATCCCTTCCCCTTGGCCAAACTCTTCGTTTTCCACACAAGGAGCTGTGCATCGCCGTCTAGTTTTTCAGCTGGGGGGAAGAGCCACCTGATCCATTTTCATGTGTCCACTGTTAGTGAGAAAGTGGGTAGAATATCAACCGCTGCAGTATTTCCCAGGAATTAGCTCAGTATCGGTTCATTTTCTCACAAATTCATCCCTATCCATGATACTGCTAATTCACTATGGTGTAGGTAAATGCTTCTCTATGTACATTTTTCAGTGTGAATGAGAGCAAATGTTACTATTTAATACCTTTGGAGAGCAGCAGTTTTATCTTTGCCAAAACTGACATGATTCCCCAATCAGGAAACAGTTCAGTACATGAATCCATACTTTGAAATCAAAAGGAGCATTTATGTGCCTAAATTTAAGCATGCTCTGAAATTGAATTGGGCTATAGTCAGAAGAATGATAATGAAAAATTCCGTTAGTAAGTAGCCCTAAACACATGTGGTTTGATCTCTACTTAAAACAAGTGCATTCCAACGTAGCATTTCAAAATGTCTTTGCTGAGCTCTTCTTTTATGTGATCACTGAACACACTGAAAATCCTCATTGTGCTTTCTTAAGGCTGTAAATTGAATGTTTCAGTATCACCTTATCAGGTGTTTTTTCTGTCGCAGAATCCGCTTTCTTTTGTATGCAAAGTACTTTATAGTACTTCACTAACTTACAATAATTTATAATTTAATTAAAAAAAGTTTTTCATTCGTGAAAAACCTACAGAAAGCAATGTTACAATTGTTCTTGTAACAGTAGCTAACAACAGATTTTTAAAAAGCTTAGTGGTTTATTAAAAAATATACAGTCTGTACATTTTTTTTACACCTTTGACTTTTTTTAAGACATTAATTCAATTTAAAAATAGAACTCCAGTATTCACCTCAGTAACTGAGCACCAGCAGGATTGAAAACTGTTTTTTTGTGTTGTTTAAGTTACAGCCGACGTTCAGATTTATTAACCAAAAATGATTCTTTAGTCAAGATGGAGGAAAAGTTAAAATTAAGCTGGCTTGCTTGAATTATTTTGCACGTTTTGAGGCTAATTGTAATGTCAGTGTTTCTTCATAGAATTAAGTGTTGTTGGGTTCCTCCCCCGCCCCATTATCAGTGCTAAATGGATAATGAAGAAAAAAAATGACAGAATTATGTCTCTCTAAGTATGAAGTCTAAAAAAATCTATTGAGTGTCTGTGCTTTAACCTTTAAAGAATTAGAAAAGTTGGAGTTATAATACCTACTTAGAGAGAGACTTTGGAATAAAATGCAGAATAGCACATAATTTGTTTTAACCGTTTCATTTCCTATGTGTGTTGCACATTGCCCAGGACCCAACTAACAGGCCAGCATGCAGTGGATGGATATTTGCCAGCGGACACAGGTCCCTCAGAGCACTGCAAGTTATTATTGTAACCTGCTTTGCATTCGCGCTAATCATCTGCTTCTATGCAGCTGTTTTATTTTGGCTTAAGGATTCCCCCCCCACCCCCCTTTAGGACTTTAGGATATTGTTTCGTAGAACTTCCTGCAGGTTTTCACTCTTAATACCATCCTCCTGGCTGATGGCTTATTTAATTCAGGGCTTGCATTCTTGTTTCATTTTTATAATCATCTCTTCCCTTGCAGCAGAACACTGGAGGAAAAAAAAAAAAGGATTTAAATAACAACCAAATCCATGGACTATCGTGATTTTTGCTACCGTTCCCTTGCACTCTCTGCCTTTCTCTCCTACGCCTATCTGCCTCCCCACAGGAATCGGAGGCTGAGCATTTTCTGTACTCTGTTTATACTGCAATAAGTAAAAAAGGCCTGTTCTTTCTCGATGGTACAAGATAGGTGTTAAAGGGATATGGGTGTACAGGTTGAGGGGGGGAGGGGGCGTGAGATTGTTTTGGGTTGTGCTTTTTTCCCTTTTGGTTCATTCATTAATTTAGATTTATGTTGACATAATTGTTCAGTCACAAATGCCTATAAGGAAGAACATGAGTGACTCCTTGTCCTTATGGCGTTCATGAAAATCTTGCTGTTGACTTAGTTGGGGTGTTCGGCTTCAGAGGGTGCCAGGGACTGGTCCTTTTGAGTGTGCTTGTTTTGATTTAGAAAGGTAGCAGTAGCTACAATGATAACTGTAAGGAATAGAAGATTTATTGCTTTCTTAGGAAATCTGTAGGTAGCTTTTATTATCATTCTCAATGCTTTTATTCCTCAGGAACCCATTAAGGTTTCACTAAAGAAGTTTTCTTCTTTAGAATTAAAACCCCGGAAATCTTGGGAATATCTGAAAAGTCTAATTTTATATTGACTTTGTAAGTTATCAGACATTTAAAGAAAACTTTACTGCTGAACACCGTAGTTCTTCTTATTGCTGTTTAGTAGTGATCATTAGTAGCACTCATCACGTATTTTTTACTTTCCTTAATCAGCTTTCACAATGATTTGCTGTGTTTATTTAGTTTTAAAACCACTGATGTTTATCTCGCAGCTTTAATGTCTTGTGGGATTTACTTAGCAAGATGCTCCAGCAGAAACATAGCCGTAGGCCTGTAAATACTCCTTTATAAAAGCTTCACTGCAATTACTCCTCTGCCTAAACACCTTTTTGAAGAGGAACTATGTGGTGGAAGCAATTTGTGTAGCAGGGCTGGAGATGGAGAGCAGTCACTTGGCTGACATGTATCTGGCTTGCACTGTTGTCACAGAACATACTTCTGACATCATCTGTCTCACACCAACATTTGGAGGTAAACTCAGATTTTTGGATGACACGGGGTGAGAATCTGAATGATGCAATTTGGGAGGTGGCGGCCAGGATGGAAGATGGCTGAGAAAGACCAAGACACCCACCATCCACAAATACTCTGTCTGGACTGGATTTTGAGCTAAAAGCCCTAATATAGAGCACATACAGAAGTGCCCTGTGCACTGCCTCAGCTGAGTGATTTGGAGCTTATTCCCCATTTAAAGGCATTTGAGGTACAAAAAAAATAAGTGTGCATATACTCTATGCCCTGATGGACTCAGTTCCAATGCTAGAGGGGTAACCTTTGTTGGGCTTCTAGCCATTGTTCTCTCTCAGATAGAAGATACGGAAAAGGATCACAAATTATTTCTTGAGTAATGCACTATTTTTGTATGACATTGCATTTTTTTATAATCAAATGGCTGTAACTTATGTGGATGCATTTCAAATATTAAGTCACACTGAGAAACTAAGTGCAGGCTGGTTTTCTATTTTAAAGGATAAAAAGGGAATTTACTTTCTTAGCCCCCTGCCCAGACTCAGAATCCAAATGCAGTAATATAAAATGGTTCTATTGTTAGGACAATATCAAATACGTGAATAGAGAAGAATAATTAATATCCTTAGTACTATTGTTACAAAGTA